AAAAAAAAAAAAAAAAAAAAAAACATTGGGACAATCGTAGGAAAAACCTGTTTTCTAGGAATACATCATAATGATGTGAAAAATATTTTCATGAATTTTTTTTCCCCAAGGGGAGACCGCGTCACTGAAATTTGGAAATTGGTACCTTTATTTTTATCTACCGTGATGATGAGCTTACCACTTCAGTTTTAATGTAAAAAAATGGTAAAAAGGGCCTTCAGCGGAATAAAATCTTCAAAGGAGTCCTCATAACGCAATTCCTAATCGACTGACTCAAATTCTAGTTCACACGTACATAATATGTACACAAACATAACAAAATGATTTTTTACAATTTCCATTTTTAGAGTTTTTGCAATTTATGTTCTGAAAAAGGCTGAGGTGAAAATTTGGAAAAATTAGTAATATTTATGTACGTGAGGAACAATTGAAGTGGGAATTTTTTCATCATCTTTTCTAGATTTCCAATGTAGTTCCTTCTAATTATCTTTTTCTGGAATCACCAACTAAAAAAAAAAGACTTTAAATACTTCAAAAAATTGGATGGCAATATTTAGTGAGGCCTTCCTCCCCCCTTCTATCATCAAGAGGCAGATAATCCCCGAACAATACAGTACTTTATTCGGTCGTGTGTGCGACGTCAAGTAGCATGTCACTCAAAAATTCTTTTCATGTTTCATGGAACCCAGTTAATCCCCCTCCTTTCAGCCATCACCCTCAACTCGTCGTTACGTATGCATTGAAAAGTCAAACCGAGGATGACAGTGTGCAGACTACAAGACCGCAATTTACTCGGCTCAATTATGAATAATAGCGATAATTGAATGAGACTTTTAACGAAAAATTCATTTACGATGAATTCATGGAATTAATAGTGAGATTGATTGATTTTTTTGCGATTATATTAATTGGTACGAGCAGTTGATAAATATAAATTTGACACATGATATAAAACCGACATCGAGTGGCCCTCGAGTGGCTGTCTGGTTACGACGTGGCTCTCATTTGAAATTATCCAATGAACACAACACTTCACTCGAAATTGTCTCTTTTCAATCATCCAGTCAATTACAGGCATTTATTCGCGTAGGCGAGAGGAATTATTTTTCTCATCTGCTGATTGAATGTCATTAGAGGAATTTATGTAATTAATTTCAATTTATTGAGTGGATATTGAGGTTATTAATGTCACTAATAATTTATTTCATGCCTAAAAATATAAACTTTCCGAAAGTTTAAATAATTTCAAGTATTTATTGATGAATAACGAATGATTAAAAAAATAATTCTGTGTAAAATGTTTTTCTCATGCAATTTAGCTGACAAATTTGATGATTGAAAATGATTGAATCCATAGTGTGGTTTGTACCAAATTTTAAAAGATACTTGAATATCCTTAAATGCCCTTTTACTTCATCCATTTGAGAGGTCGATGAAGGGCCCCTGTTGGTCCCCATTACGCCACCGAGTCTTTTCGGCCCTTGAATAAAGAAAAAAACGAGCAAGAGCACAGGGGGTTCCTCGTTAAAACGTTATGCCACCATCTCTTGCAATTTGTAGGAGTGGCTACGTCGCACGGGGTATAAAAGGTATACCTGGTTAGGGGGTATACTATGCCGGTAAATTCCGGGAAAGGATCAAAAGATTTAACTCACTTCTCTCTTTCTCTCTCCCTTGTTCATCCCCCCTCCCTTCCACCCTGGTCCATGCACCTTTTATTCTCTTTCCATGTCATTCCTCCCTCTCTTCAACAATTCCCAAAGACGAAACTTGACTTGGAATCGAATAAACAAGACACATAAATCGAGATACATGGGGATAACAATGAGAAAAAACGAGAGAAATGTTTTTTTAGTGGAGAATTTCAGGGGGTAGAGTTGAACAAAAATTTAACGAATGAGAGGAGAACAATGTGAAGAATAAAAACAGGAAAGGCAAATGACAAATGGGTTTTTGGTTTTTTAATGATGAAAAATGATTTTGAAAGTATGTATCGCTTGAAAATTCGTGAATAATCGCAACAGGAAAATGAAGAAAATTTTTTTTAAGAAGAAAGAGAAGAAAAGAAAGTGATGAAAAAATGAAAAAAATGGAGATAACAATGAGGAAAAACAAGAAATTCAGGGGGTGAAGTTAAAAAAACGAATGAGAAGAGAATAACGTGAAGAAGAAGACGGAAATTAAATTGAAAGTGGAGTTTGAGAAAATTCAATGAAAAAAGAACATTAAGAACAATTTTTTTTTAATTGAATAAAAAACGATTCCATGTCTTAAAAACATGAAAAATTCTCTTAAAAATCTTCTCTCCCTTAAAAATTTCTCAATAATCGCACTAAAAAATAAAAAAATATCCTTTTCGCAAGAAGAAATAGACGGAAAAATTCATTCCAAAGTCGCCAAATTGTCAACAAAAATGAAAAAATTATGCAACTCACCTGTTTGAGGTCCAGCACAATAGTAACAAACTCGAAACGTTCTCCCCTAGCTAAGGTGGGGCTCTGCCACCACTTTCCAGGATCAGGATTAAGAACATTGCTGATATTATGCCTCTTCCCAGGATCTGGGCTTCTGGCGTCGCAGACAGCGCATCTAGCTGACTCCGAGGGCTTGCAAAAAGTCTCAGGCCCCTCCTCGCCGCACGTTGCATTGACGTAAACGTCTGCCTTCGTCGCGACATTGAAAGTGGATGGAAATAAACCTCCGTTTTTCAGACTTTTACCCACACCAAACGGCTCTGGAAGGAATAAATAAAGAGATAAATAAATAAAACGGAGGTCTCGTTAATTCAATTTTTGGATTCTCCGGGCAATTAAATTTTATTTGACGCGGGTGAATGTAAATCAGGACCACATGCGGTTTAACGGTGATTTTTAAGGTTCTCGAGAGAATTAATTGACCAATTTATTGATACAGAAAAATGAGATTCACTATTTTTAAAAAATTTTTCTCTATGATGTGGAATTGAAATTTTTTCAGAGGCTTTCTGTGCTTCATTGATCACGAAATATCTCCCTAAAATCATAATTTAGTGGCATTACTCATTATTTATGGTATTTATGTTACTGGCATGGGTAATTCATACGAATTATAAAGAGATCGTATGAAATTATGATGAAAGAGTCACGAGGTCGATGTTATTCATCCCACGATCACCAGAGAAACCTAATAATTACACTTTATACACAATTACCGGTGTTTCTCAACCTCGAGAGGAAGGAAATTTGAAGGAACAACTGAATAAATACTATTGGGGTCAATCAATGAAACAAAGAAGATGAAAAAACGTGTTTTTATATTTTTATAAATTCAATACTCTTTGCAAAATTGACAGGTCAACCAAAAAATTAATTTTCGAGAAAATAAATTTTTTGAAAATGTCAAAACTATTTTTTCAGACTCAATAAATCTCAAGATATTTTTAAAACAATCCACAGATTAATTTTCAAATAAAAAACAGTGAAAAAATTTCACATGACTTATTTCCAAAATATCTCGGAAACTACTAAATCTAGGGAAAAATGTTAGAAAACATTTATTGTAGGTCGTGAAATCATCTACAAAAAATATCTTTTGACTTTTTTTTCTCAATCCACTTCCTGCAAAGATATTCGTAAAATAATTCTCGCACACTAAAAAAAATTTCGAATTATCGTTCACTTTGCATCTATAAATAAATTCATTCAAAGAAACTCTGACAAACGATTCCACCCATCAAGTTCGACGAGTCTCGACAGATATCCGGTGTAAGCCTATATTTTTCACGCTGTAGTCTCAAAAAACCCGGGGAATACAGGGGAAACGACCTCGCGAAGGGGATCGTTAGTGCTTTCATTGCCATTAGGGAAACTCGACGATGATTTCGGTGCCTCTCTCTGTGGATGTGAGCCGGTCCAGAAAAAAAAGTGAGAGAAGGAGAGACACACGGAGAAGATGACTCGCCGTAGAAATTAATTTTAGAACGGTACTCGCCACCTGCTTGTCCACCGGATGACTCGTCGTCCAAAAACTCAGCCAGACACTCACGTGACTTTCCAAGATTTCCGTTTGTGAATTAATCATTGAAACAATTTTAAATTTCCCAAAACTACAATTTATTCAATTTAAATTTAAATCATCATTTTTAATTCACAATTTAATTGCAAATTTATCGTAAATGAAATGAAATTGTAAAGAAAAACATATCCGGTTTTAATATTTTAATATTGAGAATAACAAATTAGAATGATTTTCCTGTGAAATTAAATTCAAGTTCACGTGAATTTATTAGAATTGAGAATTTATTTCTGACTGCAATTACCCACTTTCCCAAATCCCACGATAAATTACCACGAGTGAAATATTATCAGACAATAAGAGGTGTTGTGTCTCTAGAATCGAATTAAAGTGCAAAAATTTTACGTGATGTGATGTTGTACAGTCGTGAGGACATGTACGAGACACCGTGAAAACTTGGTGAGGACTGTGGCGAGTAAACCAGTGACTGATGACGACGGAAATAAACCCCCTGAATATGTAGTGTGTGTAACTGAGAGTTACGGAAACGACCAAAGCCGATGGGTGGATGTGCACGTGCGACCGTGTCAACGTAGATAATTCATTATTAACTTAATTTATTCAGAACAAATTGCGTAAATAAAAAATTGAAAAAACGAAATCTCTAAATTTTTCGATCATTTACATGATAAAATCAATTTTTCTTCATTTTTTGTCAATTTTCAGTGTTTTTATGATTGTATTATTTAATAAAATTATTTAAAACTAATTGCGCAAGTAAAGATTTGAAAAAAAAAATTTTTTTTGAGTTACTTTCCAATTTTTATTTCAATTTTAATTAATTTGGTATTTAATCAAATTCTTTAAACCAAATGGCAAAAATAAGAGAATTATAAAACCATTTTGTTAATGTCCCGCTAATTCTGTTTCGTGTTTAATTTTAGAGAATTGATTATCAATATTGATAATTAAAAAAATCCATTTTTAGTGAATTTTGAGATGAAAAAATTACTGTGCAGTTGATGTGAGCAAAGTTCCATTTTTTGTCAATTAAAAGTGAATTTTATCGGGATTAAAAGTGTACACTAATGGTCAAAGCAACAATCGATGCCTCCGGGAGTCCCCACACACGACGTGAATCTGCCTCGGTGCTCCTCGGCCTTATAAGGCATTGAAGAGCGCATCCACCTATACCTGGATGCACCCCATATCGTCCAGACGTCCAGAGTATCTCCAGTGTGATCAGAGAACCCCCCTGAAACGCCCCCCAGTCTCAAAACCCCTCCAGTAATTTTTTTTTCACAATTATTTTCATTAATTTTGTTTAGTACTAGAACACTATTCCTCTTATCTGTTAAATTCAATTGTTACATCAACAATGGGATCGAATTCAACTTCTTCATTATTAACAATACTTGATAACAAGAGAAATAATAATTGGCCAAAGATTCCCGTTAGAATTTCATCAATTTTCGTTAGTTCTAATTTTGTATCAAACAAGTGATTCAATTTTTTATAAAATGAGAAACGGAAATTTAGTCTCCTTGACGCATTTTTTATGTTTCCCTCTATAAGAAAGTTTTATAAATGATTTCACAAAAATTTTTAAAGTGATAATATTTTTAAAAAGTAGAAAAAGGAAAATTCTAATTGAATTTTTTTTTAATTTAATTTTTATTCAGTTTTGGTTAGTAGTCGAACATTATTCATTTTATCTCTTGAAGTCAATTGTTCGATTAACAATATGATCGATTTCGAGTTCTTGATTATCAACAATATTTGACAACAAAAGAAATAATAATTGATGAGAGATTCCCGACAGAATTTAATTAATTTTCGTCAATTTTAATTTTGCATTAGACAAGTGACTCGATTTTTTATAAAACTGAGAAATGGAAATTTAGTCTCATCAACAATTTTTTAGGCTTTCCTCTTCAAGGAAATTTCCTGAATTATGTTATAAAAAAAAATTCAATGAAAAAGGTCAATTCTACTTGAATGAATTATTTTTAAGTATAAAAATTGAATAGTCATTTGAAAATAATTCACCGGAAATATTTTCAACTTTCTAATGCAACTGTTTTTGTTCATGTCCTCAGAGGTAGTTCAATTATTCACAGAAGTACTTATCCCCGAGATCTGAAATTTCACAATCTCAAATGATCAGCAGGCCTCCTTATTATTATTGCAATAATGCGTAACGCAAAATCACAGGATCAATGTGCCCACCGTGACGTAGATACATAAGCGTTTAGCGTGGGCACAGTTGAGAATATACAACCTATATGCGCGTGCCAGTGGGTCCATTGATGACTTTCATTCACACGTGGGGCGCCGGCGCAGACGCGTGGGTGCATTTCTCGGATTTTAAATGCATATCAACTATCAAAAGCCAGAGATTTATGGCTGTACGAGGTGAATGGGAGCAGAAGAAAGGAAGAGTTTATGAATATTTCATGTGTCATTTTCTCATGTTAATGGAAAATCATTCATGGTGTGCACACAGAGATGATGATGTACCGGTCAACTTGAGGTGTCGGAAAGGGGAATGAATTTCGAATATAATGAGCAATTGAGAATGTTTTTTCATTATAAATTATGAAAATGATTGAACAAATCGAAAGAACACTCGGAAAATTTTTTTCATTTTTGAATTCGTCTATTCATTTTCATATTATTTTATAATTTGATTCATTAATTTCAAATAAATCCTCTGATTAGAAACAAATGAAATTTCCGGTTGATTAATATAAAACATAATTAGTATTTTTTGTACTCATTTCAACAGAAATTTTCTAAGAAATCAATGAACATATATTTATTTCAGTGAAAATCTTTCAATATTCGCAATGATCGATTGATTAATTCCTAATAAATCATCTGCAAGAATCAAATAAACAATAAATTAATTAATTAAAAAAAAATTATGGGTGTAAAATACTTCTTCAGTAAAGAATATAATTAATTAATTAAATTTTCATGAATACCCTCAGAAATAAAAAGTTGATGAATAATTTAAAAAATCGATTTTATTTATTTAAAAAATCCATAAAACTGTCAGCAACCTGAGTAAAAAAAAAATTTCCACCAAGCAATTATAGTTCCAACTGAAGTGCCGGGTGGATGCAGCCACTCCAAGGGATTCGTCTCGGTCATAAATAGAGTGAAAGGTCTCCCCCCCCCACCCCCCTTTCCCCACCGAAAAGAGTAAAAAGATGTCTTGTCTCCAGCGAGTCCGACCCCGGAAGGCGCATGCAGCGTCCCCGAAGTGGCTCCTTTTCACAGTAAAGAGAGTTTTACGACTGTGTGTCCCGAAATGGCGCATTTTTGTGTCGGCTCACAAATGCAATGCCGCCCCCTTCGTTATTTTGTGGAGGGGCTCGTGCCGATGGGAATGCCTGGGGCTCGGGTACCTGTTGGATAAATCCAAGGGGGCTTTTGTCGCGCTCGAGTGACGCTGTGGGATTTATTTTTTGAATGGATCCTTCGAGGGATGACTTTCAAGGCTCATTGGTGGGGTGGCATGTCAAATTACCAATTTTCAACGCACTTCAGACATTCGACGGAAAAAAAATGAGATTTTTAAAAAATGGGGAGTCAAGTTCATTATTTAATTATGGAAGACACTGATTGGGGGATAATGAGCTGTCAATAGATCATTTTCACGGAAATTTTCCACTCATGTTTGCTGGCGGCAAAATTCACAAAAATTGGGTTTTTCACGTTAACTAATCGTTGATT